TTGTTTGGAACAAACAGTTGCCATGTCAACTGGCGGCACATTTTCAAACATGAAGACTAGTAAGCTGGAATGCCCTCGAGGGTGGCAATATACAGCAACAAACATCCTAGGGAAAAAAAGAGAGACCATGAACAAAAATGTTTTGCACCAGAGAGTAAATAAGTCCTTCTATTCAACTATTATCTTCAGCCAATTTTAGGACGCAGTAATACATATTGTCAGAAACTCCCTTCTCCCACATATACCTATGGAGCAAAATCAGTGAGAACTGGTGGCGTTCCTGAGGGTATGCTCTTTTTCACATTATTTTTAGCTCTTTGCTGGAGTGACGATACTGCTGTTCATCAGAAGTCTAGCGACCATGTATACCTAACTCGGGACTTTGTGGCATTGAATCGTGAGAGTGTAAGACAGGGGGTGACAACAAGCAAGGAAATGACTCATTTTAGAGCGTTACATGACAAACTGAGGCCAAAGCATGCGAAACGCAGATCGAGGACAGTGTCACCAAAACCACGTCCAGATATCACGTATGGTATGCGCTACAGGTGAGCATGTTTAATTCCTTTAGTAAGGTATATCTCTCCGCTAACATAAGTGGTTTCCGGCCTATCTTTGCAAGTCACTAAGTTGTTTCTGCTTTCTTATTATAGTCCGAGTTGCTTAATGGAGGACTTGATTCATCACTAGTCAAAAACCACCCACATTTGCCATTTCATGGAGTCATCAGTAAAATCAAACTCCAAATATTCAGAAAAATTTTGGCACACTACGAATATTTTTATTGCTCTCCAGGCACTAAGTAACGAAATTATTTAACTTACTTTTTTAACTTCTATCTGTTGGCACAAATTTCGCCAGTGGACGATCTTGGAGCGAAGCTGAACTGACCTTAGGAATGCACGTAGTTACCTAGGGTCAAAAAGGGTCATAAATTAGCGTGCCAAATTAGGACCTAGAGTTAGGTGCTAACGAAACGATACCAATACTAAAGCCGTTAAGTCACATGGATTTCATGTTAAAATCCAAGAAAGGTGTCTTAAGCCTCATTGATCCGTCCATCAATAAGTCTCGCCGAGAACCTGATATTCGAATAATCATCGTAGTCAACCAACCACAAGTATGCAGACTAATGTGGCCCACTCAGCTTGAAGTGAAAATAATACTACGTAAATATTTAAAAAAAATCCGGACCGTAGCTGCTACCTTGACGTGGTGGTCGGGCTTGCCTATTGTCATGACCCAACCGAGCTATATTGGCTGGAACATATGTTCCTGAAGGTTCTACCATGCCAGGCAGGTCGCCCTCAGGGTCTGAGGGCGAAGTCGTACTGCTGACTGGATACAAACTTAACCCAGTAATAAGGAGTTTGATGTCCTACTTTCGCAAAGCATCTAGGTCTTGATGCGAAAGGTCAATTGTTGAGTTTCAGAGATGTTTTTTGTCACCTATTGACATTCACCTAGCTATCGAAAGAATAATAATACACATATATATCTATGTATTTTAAGACTGGAGCATTAAAACGGCAAATTAGAAATACAATAAAAAGACAACTCATTTCGGAAATTCTCCATAATTTCATTGGTCATGGGATACACTTTTTGTCGTTTCAGCTGTGATAAATAAGTCTGCAGCTGGATATAACTCCCAACTGTTCGTACGAAAACCGTACTGAAAATCCTTCAACGCACTCATTACTTAATGTGGTAGTGACACCCGTAGTGAAAGAAAAATAAGACTTCCTACTGACTATATTTTGATAATTCTCAAGTGTTGCTACAGACTTTGAAAAGCTGTCAGACAGCCTGATCACATATAAACCAACTTCAAACTCTTGTGAACTATTGTTTATTGCCATAGCCATGGAGTCTGATTTACCGATCACACGGTCAAGTCGCCATATTTACTAACAAAAGGATTATTCCAGATTCAATAAATTCGATAGTATAGTGTATTACCACTGAGGTAAAAGAACTGAGACTAGTACAGAATACATATTTTGTTAGTTAACAAATACGAAGTACGGACAGTAATTACTCCCACCATTAAAATCTACTTTTCACTTTTATTTAGACCCTCTACGCCAATCGAAGAAGTCCTTGCATATAAATATCAAGATGACTGGATCAATGAACAGATGAATAAATTAGAGAGACTAGAAGCAAAGTTAGCTGCAGTAAGAGTATAATGTGTATAACTAAATTCCATTTCATACTCAGAGCAAGACCAAAAAATTCAACCATCCTGACACAAATGCACTGATCAGGAGGAATTGCATAAAGAAAGACAAAGAAGAAAGCTTTTGGAAGATGAAGAGGTTTGAACAAAATGTAAGTTTATGAAAAATTTTAAATTCGCATACTTGCATGACTTAACTACTACACTTGGATAGGATCATGTATACTACAGCTCATAAGATCAGAAGAATTAATCAAGTGTTCGCATATCACCAAATACATTTACAAACACACTACTGACCGTGATATTCTTGCCAGTGGTATTCATCAAACTACACCGTTTTATTGTGACTAAAAGCCAAAGTTTGAAATACAGACGTACTGATGGTTGAAACTAAATTCTCACCAGTTAAACGTACCAAGTTATTGATTTATGACCACAACTGACTTTGAAATGATAAACACGTGTATTAGCATCACAGTCCAAAATAAAGTTAGTCACAGGACGGGTTACTGAACACAAACTGTCTGATAACTAGCTTCGGAAGTTGATACTGAGGTGGTCAAAAAGCGACTGAGCACGAAGGTAGTTTAACAAGGTGTGAGGTCCCAATCTATATATTTTAAATTTTTAAGACAGAATTTGCTACGTAGCTGGAAGAAATTAAAACCGTTTGAAGATAGTACAATCTCAACTACCTATACTGCTTTAATCTAATTTGTGTTTATATAAAACCATACGAACTACCTATCGTTCATTCCATGGTTTTTCATTGTTGCTGAAATTTATGAAGACCAAAATAGCGGTGCTCTTGCATTTTTTTTTACCTGAGTCGATAAAAACTAGTGTGAATATGCACAATTAGGACGACAGTAAACAGTTTGCTTACCAGATAGGTTTTAACGCTATTTACTTCATTTTTTGGAAGAAATCAACCGAGTGACATCCTCATTTCACCGTAAGATCTCCAAAACTAGATCGTTTGTTTTAAACAGTATCTAGACGTTCAATATCACAGGATAGCTGTGATTACCGGCTTAAAAATCTTAGTGATGCAAATGCACCCAATCCCCATCTCCTAGATTTGAAGTCTCAGTACTGTTAATTACTTCCCATGACAGCCATCCGCTCATTCTATCCAAACAATATTCGTAACTGAGTGGTACCTAAATCATCTTAACCTATGCTATTTAAATTCAACCATTTATCGTTGCATTTTAATTTCAGGCTGTTGGACGGGTGGACACATTTAGAAGTGAAGAATGTCGGAAACTAGCATTTGAAAAGGATAGAAGCAGTAAGGTTTCGCAAACCGGATTACATGGACATGGAATCCAACGTACAGGAGAATGTGCATAAGCATCCTTCACGTTGGAAAATTACAAAATATACACATTAGGAAACAGCCCACAGTACACTAAAAATCCACAACAGAGTTGTTCATTTTGAAAAAAGAAAGTTTATTGTTTAATAAAGTTTTCAAAATATTACGGCGGTACGAGGGGAGTGAAAGGGTTATATTATTCGAGGTAAATAGGGGTCGGGGTAGCGCTGCAACTAATCAAGATATGACCTAATCAGTGTGGTGGTAAAAATAAGTCTACTGCAAATGAGTCATTAAAATGTGATATACGTATTTTGTAACTAGACAACATTTTTTAGTGAGGTGAATTGACAGTTTAGCATAAGACTCAACTATCAATTTACTAGTTCACGTCTTATTTCATTTGATTTACTTCAAATCGCAATAACCGTCGTCATGTAACACATGATTAGTGAACAGGTATCAGAAAAAAAGCGTCTTTATAATTTAAAACTTTGAAAGCGTACTTAAATCCATACAAAATACCAGTACAAGTGTAACTAAAAAGCAGATGCAAGGCATTGAGCTAAAGAAGTTAATTTAATTTATAGTACCAAACTTCAAAATATTATGAAATAATTAATTGGTGAGATTAATTTACAGATATAAAACATCAAAGAATATTAGAAAGACTAGAAAAAGTATCTAACACGGTTTCTCTATCAAATTGTTAAGTTTCATAGGTTTTTATCTTTATCCGTTGAACTAGTTAGACCACACTGATTTACAGTACCAGTAGCTTGTCTCTGGTTAGTGTATATTTCATTCAATGAAAATGCATTAATCATATTGTCCCAAGTGAATGTGAATTTCTGTATGGTTTTCTTAGGGGCATTAATTATAGCTGGTCTCCGTGTCAGTTCACGACCTTGACGAAATAAAATAAGAGTAGGAAGCTGTTTAGACCAGGAGGATGTGTCAATATTATATTTGACGCTGATATCTGGATATCTTATTACATCGATTTTGCCAAACTTCATGAGATCCGTTCCAAATTCTTCCGACAATTCTGCAAAAATAGGTTGTAGTTTAGTACATGCAGGTGACCACACAGTATAAAAAGCAACAAGCCATGTCACTTTCGGGTTACCACGAATAACTTCTTGTTCAAAGGTTGTATCTCGCAAATATAAAACTTTATCGGGTCCATTATAAACAGGTTGTTGTAAAAAACAGGCTTGAACTAACCATAAAACACCATACAGAATGGCATATACAACATTTTGTTTCCAGAACATAAGTAGACTAACAAGTTTAGCAAACATGTAAAAATGAGCAAGGTAATCAGGAATAGAGAACTGACGTTTGTTACGCAATGCGACAAAGCTTCCTAAGAATATTAACATTTCATATTCTTGTAGATTAATATAGCAATCTTCATACATCCATGTACAAAATACTGGAACAGTTTTAGATACAAAAAACAGAACGCTGAGTAGCATATTGACGATAAAGTATGGATGAAGTAAGAGCTTCAAATCCCGTTTATTTTTCATCTGCAAAATTAAGCGAACGGGTTAACAATATTAAAAATGGACTATAAAATCGCATAAAAATGATAAGGTCGAACCATTACTGATTCAAGGAATAATTCTTAGTGACTACAAAACACCACAAGAAAACTAACGTAGTTTCCTTCGGGTGTATTCCTACATTTGTCAGATACTACTCAGTTAAAAAGAAGCATTTTGATTTATTTTTATAAAGGTGAATATGGTGTTAAGAGGAAAAGTATGACTTAATCCAACTATCTCTTTATGCTTTGAGAGATTGTGATTCAACAGCTTGAGAAGTTGACTCCGGTTATGAGTTTAAAGATTATTCAAACATTTTCGATTTAGTGTTTGAGCAATGCGTACACTGATTGACAACCAGTCCCATGCTCAGCAAGTTCATTATCTTAATCGAAGTCTCGATCGAGTCGCAACATGGCTATCAGTGTGACTTCATTGTCTTTATATGTTAAATGGTCAGATGCAGTCGGTAAAATGCCCTGAAACTAGATAACGTGCAATATGAATAACGTATATGCAATGACTTTTGAGCTATTTCGATTGCAACTTACCTGTAGTTAACTGGCTTTTGCCAACCTGCGTCACTTATGGCGTAGGCGAGATATCCGTTTGCTGACTGAAGGACGGGTGTACTGTGCAGTAGTTCGCTCCGTCTTACTTTATGGCTGTGAAACATGGCCGTTAAGAGAAAATATTCGTAGGTTACTGGTTTTCGATCATAGGTGTCTTCGAAGCATTGCTCGTATATCGTGGGACACCCGAGTGAGCAACGCTGTTATTAGGAAACGGGTGCTAGGTAAGAATGGCAGGTCAATAGATAAAGTAATGAAACGTCATCAGTTGAGGTGGTTGAGACATGTGCTGCGTATGCTTAACCACCGACTCTCTCGACGAGCTTTGTTTTGTAGTTTAGGAATAGGTTGGAAGAAAGCTAGGGGCGGCCAAACCAAAACATGGCAGCACCCCATGAAGTCATTGACGAGTGGGCTGAGTCATGTCGGTAGTTGTCGACTACCTGGTTGGGGTCCGCGAGATGATAATAATCGATTGTTAGATACTCTGAATGACATGGCTCAAAATCGTTCGCAATGGCGCCGGCGCATTTATTCTTTGTGCTCTCTCAAATTCTAATCTTCTGGATTCAACAACTCTAGTTTTGACTTTCTAAACTTTTCTCACTGAATCATACTTCTTGAATAATATCTTCTAACCCTATCCTCTCCAGTCAGTCTGTCTGTCAGATGCAACGTAGAACTTCGTACGTAAGTACATCAGTTCATGTTGCCATACCACATAAGCACAGAGATGTAATTGTCAATTCAAATCAAATAGTAGAAGAGGTAGTAAAGGTATTAGAAGTAATCGGATAGGTTAGGATTAGAAGATATTATTCAAGAAGTATGATTCAGTGAAAAAAGTTTAGAAAGTCAAAACTAGAGTTGTTGAATCCAGAAGATTAGAATTTGAGAGAGCACAAAGAATAAATGCACCGGCGCCATTGCGAACGATTTTGAGCCATGTCATTCAGAGTATCTAACAATCGATTATTATCATCTCGCGGACCCCAACCAGGTAGTCGACAACTACCGACATGACTCAGCCCACTCGTCAATGACTTCATGGGGTGCTGCCATGTTTTGGTTTGGCCGCCCCTAGCTTTCTTCCAACCTATTCCTAAACTACAAAACAAAGCTCGTCGAGAGAGTCGGTGGTTAAGCATACGCAGCACATGTCTCAACCACCTCAACTGATGACGTTTCATTACTTTATCTATTGACCTGCCATTCTTACCTAGCACCCAGCCACAAAACCTGAAGGACATTACCGAGAACATAACTTTCAGGTAGTGTTTGAATGTAAGTTGTGCTAGGAATGAACGAAAATTCATAGGTACCATTATTATATCGTCAACATGTCACTGTGTGACAACAAACAGTGTCATGTAAATATTCAGATTAATATCATGATGAAATACGGTTGGAAATACTCACCTCTCAGTACTTTTGTAACGGTTCGTGTCCAGCTAGAAAGAACCTTGTGTATTAGGAGTGTTTGGAGTAGTATGAACTGAAAGAAATGGAAAACAGAAAAACACTCAAATAAAACAGAATGAGGTAGTACAGACTAAATTTGGCGAAATATAAGCTAACTTGAAAGAGAAACGACTATTTTTGCACCTGACGTAGAATATTTACGTGAGAACTAGATTGTTTGGAGTTCATGAAAACGTAAACTTATAGACCTCACACTGTCAGATATCAATGGGAAATGTCTCATAAACTACCCAGGCCAAGAGAAAAAGGCGACACGGATGCAATTTCGCCAGTGTTGCCTATATTTCCCGTAATTCCGTCTTCATTTCCATGTTCTCGTTAATTTGTACAGAAGAGATTAACCGAAGACCGATCAAGCGCACAAATGCACTTACACTGAATAAGACGAGCATTAGACAAACAAAAAATTTTGAAAGGGAAACTAGGGGTAAAAAGCGTGAGGTTTGGAGGCCGTTACACTTCAACTGCTACTGTAACTTCAGCCTTAAGTTTGCGTTTAGCCGGGAGGTACCTTGTGTGTTGGGGAGGAAAGGACAAGAGAAAAGGTGAGCCGACAACTCAGTAAGCACACAGAATATACTTACATTTAATAGAAGATGCAATCGACAACAATCATAAATGAGACAAGCATGAAACTAAGACAAACTGTTAATCGGAGCTGGGAGTTGTTACAGTAAGATTTTGAATGCGCTACACGAAAAGTAATTTCTTGTCCCGCTCGTTCAATCAACAATCTCTACAGAAGGTTTAATCCATAATATCCGAATTACTGAGAAATATTCTCGAAAATGAAGCATTCAGAAATTCCGTTCACAGCAGATCCCTGAAGTAAACAGTTCTGATAGTCTTAAATGTTGATACTGACTTCATTTGCTTAACTGAACAAGGTCGCGCATCCACAAAATATCATTATTTGGCACTTCATTTTGCTCATCCCTTGCAACAACTAGTCATTTGCGGCCATGAAAGCCATAGCCTGAACCTAAACGTCAACGAAATCACCGTTTGTTGCAAATACATCAGTATCTATTAAGTGCACGTTGCAGTGGGTGTGCGTTAGTAATACAAACGGCCACAATATAGATTCCAAAACATTACAAATCAAAGACGGAGGTATTAAAAAGCTCCACTATTTTATTTCATGTTTCAATATTAAAAGGTAGCTGGCTGGAGAATAAGGACATTACTCCAGCCCAACTGCGTCGCCTATTTAAGGTCCAAAATTTAGCGAAATGTACACCCCTTCAATTAAGGATGACTTTAGATTCGGCAAAGGTTTCATGTGATACGTGACTGAAATTTCAGAGATCTTCATTTAAACGGTCCGCCCAAATCTAAGTTAATAGAAGGAATTTCCGCAAGATCAATAAAAAAACAATGAAGAACAAACTGATATGATGGTTCATCGAGTGCTCGGGCTGGTAGATGGTCGAACGAACTTGACTTTCAATATAGGCGTCAGGTGTCACGTATCGTAGACCATCAAACCACCATGAAAATCTGGGCTCCCTGGTTACCCAGTCCGTTACATCTCACGGCCACTAAATCTCCGCGTCTGATGGCTGTGAACTTCGGAAAACCGGACGTCAATGAGGTGCTTGAGGACTGGTGCTGCACGAAGAATGATTTCTCTGGTCACATCAGATGTTATGGGAGCCGAGCTACATCAGTTAGACAACAGTACGGAAGCTAAATACAGTACATATCGACATCAGCTGACCTCAGTCGATAATCCAAGACGCAAGATGCAAAGATCACAGTATCACAAACGGAATACTATATATGGGTAAAAAAACAAGTATAAGCGCCGGCTCGCACACGACGGGCCAACTGATTTTGATCAACCTGTCTGAAAATCCTAGAATAGATGCTGCCACAGAAGGACTCCAAATGATAAGACAATGTTACAGTGTAAGAGGACTAAAGGGTGAATTGGTAGAAATCAAAATCTTGTGCTACTAAAAGTATTCAAAGAGCTTAATTCGGTTAAGATCATGGCTATCCCCTAGAGTAGTAAGACATAAAGTGAGCTTACAAGATATGACACTTCTGATGAGATCAGGTACACAAAACAGAAGGTTCAGTAATGACGCTATAACACCACGCGGCACCCAACTAACTGATGCGGCAGAATCGTGCTAGTGCTGCTTCAACACGCATGGCACAAAATACTTGATTGATGGGATTTGACAGCTCTCTTTCAGATACTAAAGACCAGAAAGACAAGTTGATTGAAGCGATATTGCAACTAACACTAAGGGCTTTTGACCGAAAAGTTGTAGCGAGAGATTTCCAAATCCCAGTAAACAAAGTACAGTTCTCATATGTTGGTTCCGAAAACAACTTTTTACAGCCACTAGAAGTTCTGAACTGAATGAACATGTGTGCGACTCCAGTAGATAGAATAAGGATGGAAAACCTCAAACTTGGATCACTTGTTAACAAAATATCAGCTCCTAGTCTAAGATATCCAGGTTCCAATATCCAATATCTTTTTCACGAGCTACTGTAAACCAATTTAATAATAATAATAATAATAATAATTTGATTTCTTCGCGCTCGATTCTTGTTCTTTCGGTACGGTTCCAGGTGTTCGGTAATGTCCAATGGATGGAGGTCTAGCCACTCGACTGTCTAATTCTAGTCAGTTGGCAGTTGGTTGTGAATTTGTATGTCTCGGGATTTGAATGAAAACGTTTGTTTCAGGGCAGTAGGGTTTCTGGATACTAGCAGCCGTCACATTACCAAACCGGAGATCAGTTAGTTGAAATGTGGAGAGTAATAAGGGTAATAAGGGTAAATTAAAGTGATAATATGAATAAAATTTCAGAACTGAGTAACATACAGGTGAGTTTAGTTTGCTAATTGGTAGTGAAGATTGTGAGAGAGGACCGAAGTGTAAGCAAGGGAGAGGAGACAGAGATAATA